GGGTTCATGAATGAGAAACAACTGAAATGGATTCTTGCTCATGAGTGATAATTCGGGGAAGAGGAAGTAGAATTTACTGTCCAAAACTGGACAGTTTTGAGGGTAAAATGTGCTGTGCTTTGTCTCTRCCATGGACAATCTCATGCTTCCTTAGCTAATTTGTGTAGTTTAGGAAATGGGGCTTCTCTATGRCTGAGTCTTCCATGGCTATTGCCTGCAGGATATAATAAATCTCTGAGTCAGAGACCATCCAAGTGTMCTATGGTTCATTCTTAGGCTGTGTTTGCCTGTTCCTGTCTCACCATTGTGGTGAGAATGTTTGATGAAGAGATCACCAGGTTCTATCTCACTCTCTAGATTCTTCCCTGTGCTTATGGTACTCAGAGACACAGACTTGCTTCATGCCTTCCTCCTTCTGATATACCTGATTTCACTTACAAGCAATTGCAGTTGGAGAAGTTGCCTTCAAAGGYAGTGGCACAGTTCTGATTTTTGAAAGATGTGTGTGATGGGGTGAAGGATTTCTCCTAGCTACAGATTTGCTGATGTTTCTGAAATTAAATCAGTGAGTATTTAATCATTAATTATAATGTGAGATGGACCAGTCTGAAGTCTGAGAATACTCTTCCATGTTCCTTTTAGTTATTCAAGTCTGTGGCAAATCCTGCCCTTCATGGCATGGCGTGACTGGCATTCCAGTGAATTTGTATAGCCAGCACTATCCACCCCTGTGCCTTTCATTAATGCTAACAGTCTGAAACTTAATGCTTGATTAAGTCTTTAAGCTGACTCTGGGACGTGTGTTTGGAATAACTAAAATGAGTTCTCAAAGTGCTGTTGAGCAATATCTGTATGGGCTTTGCATATGAACATCTCCATTAACTTCCTCAGTTCACTGCACTCTGTTTACAAGTGAGTAAGCACTGGTTGAAAAGAAGCCACACCCTTAATGAATTCTTAAGGAGAAAATGTTATAAAGCATTCTGTAGCAGRATTTCTGCTTTTTCAGACAGGATCCTTAGAAAGCTTCTAACTTTAATGAATACATGCTCCATGGCAGTTACTTAATTCTGAAATAAGAAATGGCAAATCTGTGGAAAAGAGGGTCGCCTGAACTGGAAAATAGTTGGCAGTAGTATGCTGTGGGATTTTAAGAGTATTAGGAGATTTAAACTGGTGTTTGTTGGAGTGCTTGGATACTGTGCTGTGTGTTGGTGAAGAGAGTAGAGGACAGGATTTTTCAAGCTGGTTACTCATATCAGTATGTAACTGCATGRATCAGCTATTGATGATTTCTGCTGTGATCTTCTGCTGGTGGTGGTCATCTTTTTAAAAACAAACATTACTTCAGCCAGAATAATGAAGCACTAAGTGCTAATTTTGCAAGAGGCTTTGTTGGCAGCTGTTCAGTCCTAGGGTGCTGAGTGCTTTAGATAGGTGGGCAGTGATGGGCTTTGCTTGGAACTCAGATATCTCTGGGGGGAAAGGGAACAAGGGGTTCAGGCAAATGTGATCCTTGCACCTCTTTCAGTAACTGAACATGAACCCTCCTTTTTAACGAACAGGGAAAGTCTGGCATCTTGTTTCCTTGCCAGGTTGGAAGCTCTCAGTGCCACTGGTACTGTTGCAGCTGGCAACGTTTTCTTTTAAATGTTTGTACTAAGTTTGTTTCTAAAATAGAATAGATATTAGTATGAGCAACCCATTTGTAGGTGTCTAGGTTTGTTTACTGATGAACTTGGGACTGATTGATCATATCAAATCTACTAAGTACTGACTTATCCTGTAGAGAAATGATGGAATAGTCAATAAAAGGATGAGTTCCTTGAGTTGGGGTTGAGTYCTTGTCAGTTTGTGCTGCTGGATTTTTTTTTTCATAGCTGTGTTCAGCAGGGATTAGTATTCATCAATTCCTGTCACTGTATTCGCTGCTCCTGTCAACCTTTCCTGYACACATCTCTGGTGTGCTGTGTGTTTGGAGCCTCTTTTCAGTGTTCAGTTAATCCCCAGGGTCATGGCATCTCCTGATGCTTTGATCAGCACTTACATTTGTAGTAATTTATTTCAGCATTGATAGATCTTTTGCTCACCAGTCAAGGGCAGAGTAAAAACACAAAAAAAAAATCCAAACTCCAACCTTGTAAAAACATGCTTCCAAAGCTGCTTAGCAATCAGTTGTTCAAATCAAGTAGTGCTTGTCTCCTTCCCCAGCTACTGAAAAACCAAGCCCACAARCAAAACACAGCTCCACGTTCCCCCCTTCTCCTGCCAAGATAACCAGAGTTGATGTATTTCTCCAAATGGCATTGCAGGACACAAGGCAAAACAAAGATAAAGTGTGATGGGCCTGGGGTGATTACTGAAATGATAGGTGTGGGGCTTTCAGTGCCTTTGGCTGCTCTGTGTTGAGTGTCAGGGCTTGAAAGGTTTTCTCATCAGCTTTCATATGTTTTCTAACAACAATGAAACAATCCAAGCAGTAGATATCTGAAAGAAGTTTTCTGTTCATGGGTGGTTGAAGTCGCTTTCCATCAGCAACGTGATTTAAAGCTGATCAGACTGCTTTGTGTTGTGTTTCAATGATTCATGCTTAATTTCATGTTGGCTGTCTGATGTAGTAATACATGTTCTCTGTAAAATCCCTGTAGTTTTGGCAGTTTTCAAACATTTGGGTAAGAAAGACCTAATAAATAGACCTTATCTATTCCTGCAGCCTCCCTACTGATACTTTTTTGTTTCTTGTTGTGTGTGCTCTGTGCTGTTCTCTGCCCTTCAAAGAACTAATGCATAGGAAGAACTGATTTAGTCTGTTCCAGGAACCATAAGCTCTTTGAAGACTCCATTCAGTTGCACATTTGTTCAAAATGACCACTATTTGAAAGCTCATCTTTTTCTGATTAAGTAAATTCTGTATAATATRGCAAAAATTTTCATTAATATGAGTTACTTTTCTGATTCTCATTACTTTCATTGGGCTGTAGGGCAGCAGTGCCACTTTGGTTTCAAAAGCTTCTTGCACAGACTTTGTTACAGAGAAACCCAAGTAATACATAAACATTGAGGGCTGTGCTGCTGTAGTTGCTGGATTTCATCTGAGCCACAGAGCCAAAGCAGTTCTGAGATATTAAAGTAGCTCCTTTCATCACCTGACTACAAAAGTTAGTATGTCAAACCTGGTCCATTTCTTATGATAAATGTAATAGTATTGGAAAAGATGGAGAGCTGGAAACACCCTCCCCCACACCTTGGTGTTGAATCTTCCCTATGAGCCCATTTCTCCAGCCAAAATTYTGTAGGGGTTGCAGCCCCACGTTGGGGTCTGATGACAGAAGGCTTCAGCAGAGCAGATGCTYTGCTGCTGATACCCTCTTTATATTTGTGACCACTAGTTCAAGAAAAAAGTGAAATTAAATGAAAGGAAATAAAATTAATTCAGTAATTTTCATACTTTTAAAATAATAAGGATTCAGTTAATGTGTTTTTTTTCTTCTTTGAATTTGTGGAGGGGGGATTAGCTCAATGTCTTGCACAGTCCTCACCTTTGTGATTTGAGAGGTAATTGAAGGATTTGTAATATCCCATTGGTTTGATCACAACTCCTGCTCATGACATTTTATAATGAGTAAATAACGTTTTGAAGGTATAAGGTTATCCTGAGATAATTACACAGCTGAAATGCATTGGCACAAGGCCAAAGGCTAAGCACTTTCCACCATTCCTACCTAAACTGARTAACTTCACTTTATGAAGTGTATCATCAGAAATTGTTTTCATTACTCCCAGAGGGCAAATTAAAGTTAATAAAAATCCATTCTAGATTACCCATATATATGAATATTTGTATTTTTAGAATTTTTCTTCATCAATTACATTCCTCAGTGACTTTGTATATGTGAATACTAATATGTAGGTCAAAGCTCTGGCACACATTTCTACAATTTTGAACTGTTTTACCTCTCTTAGACAGGTTTCCTCTAAACTGGACTGTCAGACCCTGCAGGAATTTTTAAACTGAGCAAAACTAAACACACTCCTTCCACTAAGGTGTGGTTTCTCACATGCCCTGAATCCCACCATCCTGGGTTTCACTTGAGCCACATAGCAACCAYTGGACCCATCTGCTTCAGTCCTCAGAGTATTTGCATATCCTCATCTTTAAATTTTATATTAAATCACATGTTCTTCATGCAAGGCAATCCAATATTTTGTGAATTCTTCAGCAATCTGAAAAACYCTTTAGTAGAGGTGAATGGAGGGGGGAGTGCTTTTCCATTTCCTGTGATAAATTATTTACATCTATGATCTGAAACAGCACACACATACTGGAGTCACCTCTTCTCATACTCTGCTTTTACAACATTACAGTCTTGCTACAAGTTTCCTCTTTGCTGCTGCTTGCCCTCCTCCTCCTGCTTCCCAAGAGAGAGGTTTTCTTCTCAATAACACAGCTCTTTCTGCCTCTTAGCATGAGGAAGAGCAAGATAAGAAATGTTTGAGTGTGCAGGAATATTTACGCAGGATAATCTTTCGGCCTCTAACACTGTGAGGTTCAGGAACTTTGTTTTTCTAGAGATGGTTTCTTTGTCACGTGATGGATTTTTTTGGTCTATGAATTAGAATTTTTAAAACTCTGTGTACTCTCTTAGCACAAAGAGTAGTGTTGGGCAGAGTTGTCCTGTTGGTAACATTTTGGACAATTTTTTTAAGAAACGCCTTTTTTTCCATCTCAAAAATTAAAAAAAAAGAAATTAGTAAGTTGCTTTTTAAAATCTTAACATTAATTGAGGGAGTTAGTTACCACCAATTAGTTAACATTGTCTGTCTATGACAGTGCCAGTATTGAAGGACAAATAATTTGAAAAGCCAAAAGAAATAACTGGGAATGGTTGGAGGTAAAATACATACCATTTATAAATCTATGCAACTTGCTAGGCAATTGTTTGTTTTAGGGTTTTTTTATTTGTTGAATGAAACAGTGTCTAAACAACTTTTCTCTGCAGGTTATTGACATGCCAGAGCACAATCCTGGAGATATGGGAGGAACAATGAGACTGGGGAAGAGGAGGACTGTTTTCAAAACTGAAAATTCTGTTTTAAGTAAGTTATTGTTCTGCTCATATGACTTTGCCTTTTGGATAGAAGCTTTGTAACATGAAAAATCAAAAATGCTATAACCTTAAGCATACAGTTGGGTGACAGCTTCCCTGAGCTCACTCACTCTGATCCTGTTATTTACATTTACTGAGCATTGGAATTTAAATAAGAAATGAGAGACATCTGTAATTCCCAGTGAAACTGTCAGTTAAGGTCCAATGCTTCTTTAAAAACAATGAGTAAAATGCCAAGGCAACTGAAATTCATTTCATGGTAGTTTAATTCATTATGTTCTTGTGAAGGTCAGAGTGCTTTCTTCCTATTTTCTTTATGAGCTGATCGGTGTGAACCAGGGCTTCTTATCCCACCCTTGAAGCTTCTTTGGCAGAACTAATCCAAACTCCTGCCCATTGTGCTGTTGCCAGACCTAAATATTGCTTGTCATTCCCTGGATTTTCCAGTGCACCTCACCCTGCAGTGTCAGCTGGCCTTGTTGCCTTCATGCTTGCCTTGTCTTGACAACATTTGCCAGACCCTTCTTAACTCCAGTCTCTGATCCAGCACTGCATTAGTCCTAGCCCAGCCTTGGAAACAGTCTTGTTTTGGGAAAGCACAGTATTTGTTGCTGGAAAGGAGCATGATTTGTTTTTTTTTTCTTTTATTCAAAAATTTGTATTTTATTTGCTCAGATAACAAAATAAAAACAATCAGAATATAGAACAATTTATTTACGTTGAACTGTGTGTATTTAAAAATTGAAGTAATACTTTCCTCTTACTAATCAGCCCATTATACAGTATGGATGGTGCAGCAAATGTGTAAAAAGTAGTTTCTTATCCATCAATTAAATATGTGTGTATTTTATTGCCCTGCCCCTGATACTGATCTGAGCTATTATTTTATTAGCTGTGTGGAACTTAAGGAATGTATCCTTCTGAGTGTTTRAAAATGACATTTATTTCAGCAGGAGACCAAAGTGTAATACATATGCACATTTAGTGAAAAATTTAAAGATGCCCATAGTAGTGATCCAACTAACCTGGGTGATGCTTTGCCTACATGTCACATAGATATCTCAAAGTACAGGTTGTTCTGTGGCCTAAACACTTCTTGGAAAAGTTTAAAAAAATTAACTTGTAACTCTTGACCAATATTATGAGTTGTTTAGATCTGTTTAGATCTTTTGTTAGAAAGAATCATAAAAAGCTCTGGTAGTTTAATCACGAAATCTCATTTATTTTTCATATGCTTTACAACTAGTATGGAAATAATAGTTTTGGAAAGGTGGTCCCTTAAAATTTAGGTGCAKACCACTTTTTTGTAAATGGCAGTACTATTATTCTGCAATTTTTGAAGATGTTCCTTGCAGTCCAGCTCTTGTACCAACCCCTCAGTAAGATAGTAATCCTAAAGACCTCAGGGTAATAGAGAGCAAAGTTTCAGCCATGATTATATGAGAAATACGATTGAAATCTGGTTTACTGCATACCTCTAACTGGCTTCTTGTTGCTGTGAAATGTGGAATGTTGAAGATTATACACAGAGGACTGCAAGAGTAATTTGGGTAATGAGATCAGGAAAACAGAAAAAARCAATATTCTCTGTTTGTTCTTTGGAGGTATTATACCAGGTGCCATGCATAATCTATTAAAATTGAGCAAATGTTACTGAAAGGCTTCYTTCCCTGCATCTTTTGCATGCAACTGTTGTAAAACCCTGAAGAGATTTTGCATTACTTATTCACTCGGACTTTTTTTATATATTTTGAGCTTTGCAATTTGAATTACTTACAGCATGTTTAGATTCTCATCTACCTAAGCTATGTCTGGTCAAGGAATGTTGAATATGAGTCAACTCCGGTAATAGAAAATTAAAAGAAATTAGTCCTCACTCAGGAAAAACAGCAAATTGCAGTGAGACAAATAGTGTATTGTTATGTTTAACATGTGTCAAATGTGACCTTTTTGAGTTTTAAATTACAAGAAATAATTGTAGCAACTGTTAAAGCAACACATTGGCATTAATTTCTCTTTTGTTGTATATTCAGGGAAACTTTATGGTGATGAAATGTTCGTAGARGAGCGACACAGGCATCGATATGAGGTAAGCACTGCTGAAGTACTTGGTGCTCAAAAGTAAAGCTTGACAACTTACGTTTCTATTGGCAGTCAGAAAAAAAGCTGGTGGGAGATTTCTTACGTAACCATGAACCAAAATTTGGTAGTGGTTAGACAGTATTGTTTAGATTGGAAGGAACCTCTTTAAGTATTTTGGTCCAGCTCCCTGTTTGCAGCTGAGCCAACTGTAAAATTAGATCACTCCGGATTTTGTTCCATCTAATTCTGAGTCTCTTTGAAGAGGGAATCCACAGTATCTTTTGACAATTTGTTCCAATGCTTAACCACTACATTGGGATCCTTTTTGCTTGTGTCTAATAGGAGAATTCCTTGCGCAGTTTCTTTTTTGGTCTCAGTCATGGGCTATACATTTCTGAGCAGAGTGTGTCTCTATGCTGTCTCATTAGATAGTTGAAGTCAGCCACGAGATCCACTCTTTCCTTTCTCTTTCCCAGRCTCARCAAATCCAGCTCATCCAGTCTCTCYCCCTGTGTTKTATGTGCCCACTTTTAYAAATTTATACCAGAGCTGTTAAAACAAGAAAGCAAAAGTTTCCATCTCTTACGTAATTATTTTCATTCCTGTATGCATGTAAAAAACATTACGATTAATTGCTATGGTTTGTTAAATCCAAAAATAAATAGAACTACAATTATTATTGCTTTCAATGTTTCAGGTGAACCCAGAACTGACTCATTGCTTTGAAGAGAAAGGCTTGAAATTTGTTGGCCATGATACAGAAGGGAACAGGATGGAAATTATTGAACTGGAGAGTGAGTGACTCACTTGTTTGTAATACTTGTTGCATTTGTTAAAACTGTATAAATAGTTAAATGAGATGTAGTCATAATATTTAGCTGTCATAACAGCCAAGATAATTCTGGGGTTASTGCTAATTCCACCTGTGTATTACAATGGGTGAAAATTCAGAGTACGTTAGGAAAAGTCTTACTCTCTGCAAAGACTGTGCATGTATTTGATAACCAGGACAAATAAAGCTTCTTTTCCAAAAGGTCCTAATTCTAGCTCAGGGAGATTTGGCTGTATAGAATCATAGAGTGGTTTGGAAGGTGATATAGTCCAACCTTCTGCTTCAGTGCAGGGCTACCTTCAAATACAGGTCAGGTTCTCAAGAGTGGTGTTAGTCAGGTTTTGAGTATCTCCAAGTAAGATGTRGCTTGGACTTCAAACCAGTCACCACTGTTCTTTGAACCCCAAAGTCTGGCCATTTTTTTAACACACKTTGTGGTCTACCCATAGTCCCCAACTTCCAACTTAAAGGGTAGGAAACCATATCAAAAGCTTTGCTGRAGTCAGAATTAAGGAAAGCTATTGCTCTCCCTGCATCCAGAGACAAATTGTTCTCAGGTTTGTTGTGCCAATCTTCSTGACCTTCATGTGTCTTAATGTTCTGTGGTTCCTTGGATCCTTCTTTTTGTCTTGAAGAAGAGCATGGTGACTGGCTTTTTCTAGTCATCAAGGACCTCTGGCCTTTTAATAAAAACCAGTTTTACAGTGACATTGCCCTGCTCCCTAAGAACCCTCAAACACTCTAGGTCAGGTCCCGATATGTGTTCATTTTGCTTGAGTATATGAAAAATGTATATGTGCMATGTAGCCAAAGTGTATGACATTACTAGAGTATATTACCTATCTTCATCCTTGCAGTAGAGACCTTCAAAATTTGACAAGACTCTGAGCAACCTGATTTAACTTGGAGTTTATCCCTGCTTGGAGCAGGAGGTTGGGAATAGAGTCCTCCCAAGGTGCCTTCCAATCACTTTGTCTTTCAGTTMCCCTCTAGTTAGAACCATATAAATGGAAGTATGAAAGTCAAATAGAAAGAAAGCTCCTTTGTTTCGCACAAGTGATTCAGAGAGATGARTGTTTGATCCTTTGGAAGTATTACTTTACCAAGTAAGACTTGATGTCTTTTCTAAAAGATTCTGAAATAAAAAGGAGTTACACTGTGTATGTTTGTTGAATGGTACATAGAGTAGCTTTTCAGAACCATCTTTTTGATTTTGATTGGATTTTTGATTAACTCTTTAGTGTTAAGTCGCTGTTGGCTAGATAAGTATCAGGCACCTGAAGATGCAGGATAGATTAATAAACTACTAATTGTTATGGATGTTCTTGGGTTAGTTTGTCCCTGACAGATTATCTCCGTTGCACTTGCTGTTGTTGGGAGGTTATTTTGTCTGCCCCACATGAAACAACTTCTGTAGAGAGCACTGAGAAATAAATGAGGCAGAAATTTTAAATTGGATGTTTCTGTGAAAGAAATAAAAGTAGCAGTAAAACTTGGRATTATTTCACAATGGGCTGCAAGGAGATGGTTACTAAGGAAGAACAATCATAGGTATGTACGGTGGGTTGGAGCAGAAACATAAAAATAACAGTACACCAGCTAGCTTAGGCAACACTTTTGAGCAAACTATCCCCACAGGAAATATTTGGTGCTTTGTCATTGAAGTTCTGGGGTAAATCTAGGATCCAGGTTCTCTTTAATATAATTACAGCAGCAGAGAGAACAGTATACTAGACCCTGCAGTCTATCTTCCTAGAAGAAAAGTGCTGATTTCTTCTCATCACTTACTCTGTACTGCAGAGAAATTCCTTGAATGTTGGGAACTATTTTGGAAGTTGTCAAACCAGAGGAGATCTGTAGTTGGTTTTGTCCAATGTCCTGGCACTTGAAGTGATCAATATTAGCTCCATTAAAAAAGAGAAGGAATGGGTTATCAGCATGAAAGATTGTAAAAACTTTTCTTTCTTCTCCGTTCTTCTGAAGAAAATAGAAAGGAAGCAGAAGTAGTAGTAAAATGGTGCTTTGAGTGAGAAACAGAGATGAAGATTCTAGAAAGTATGAAGCAACATATTGTTCTGAATAGACATGCATAAATAGATACTGGAAACCAAAATACTATGAAAATAACATGATGAATGTAAACTTAGTGACTTTTCCACTTGTGCCCCCTTTCCCCTGCCCCTTACATGTTRGTACAGGTTTATTATTCAGTTTTTATGAATCACAAGATAATTTTTCCTTGGTTTTCCCTACTGACTTCTGCCTCTATTGTCAGTAGCTTTTTGTAGAAGTTTCTGCTGCCTCACCCTTAAGTTTACATGTGCCGATCTGGCTTCTGGAGACCTGTCTGAAATCTTCAATAAATGTTTTTTCCTGAAAGTTTTTCTACTCTCTTCTTCCTACATAGTGTAATTTTCTTCGATGTCTGTCTTGTAGATCACCCATATTTTGTGGGAGTTCAGTTCCACCCAGAATTTTCCTCAAGACCTATGAAACCTTCACCTCCATACCTTGGACTGTTGCTAGCAGCAACTGGAACACTGAACGCATACCTGCAGCGTGGATGTAAATTGTCTCCAAGGTAATCTTTMTTTGTTGCTTGCCTGCAGTTTGACAGTTGCATTTTTGAAGGTACTATCCCATCCTTCAATTCAGMAGGCCAGAAGAGGAAAAGGAGTTCTCCATGTATTGATTTCCTTGTTGCTGTGTGTGCCTGTCATAAACCTGGGTGTAAAATAACCTGTAAGCAGGAAGCACAGTTCCTCACTTCTTCCTTTTCAGAGGCTGTTAGGGATAAAGGCAGAACTCCACATTACAATCAGAAAAAAAAAGTAAAAAACCTTTATTAAATTCAAATGAAGACAGCAGCCTTCTGTGTTAACTTCCATTGACAGCAGCTTCATCAGGAAAGAGATTTGTCAGAGGATCAGGCATTGAAGTGAAATTCTTACCTAGCTGTACTTGAATGATGATAGCAACAACAAAGAAAACACTGATTTTATTTTGCAATAGCTAAATAATAAATACTTGCACATACAGGCCTGAAATAAAACAGTTAGGATACCTTTAGACTTACAGAAAGGTTTGTATCTAGGTCAAAAYTGGATGGTTCAGCCCAAATTCTTTGTCCTAGGTCTCTTGGACACAGAGGTCTTGGTTTTTTGAATGTAGCAATGTTTTTTAGGCAGGGTTAACTAATTGTTGTTTATTTCAATGATATTAGTAGCAGTTACAATTTTATTATAATAGCAATAATAAAGAAGTCAGAGGGAAGCCTTGGGCACAATAACAAAAATGAAAAAAATAATCACAAAATGACTGAATAATAATATTGAACAGAYCYAACTCTTGCATTTTGACTTACCCTYTAAAGARGWCACCAAACATTAATTCTGTGGGTTGGCCTTTTTATTCTTTTGAGTCCTGTGTTCTGTTGAAATACAAGACTGAATCTATTGAAATCCAAGTGAGTCTCACTTTTGTTAAGTGAGAAATAGAAATTTTATTAATGATGAGTAGTAATGGGAAAATAGCCAAGCCAGACCAGACTAATCTGTTTTGGTTCCCTACTCCTTTATGGGTATCAGTTTTTATTCACTCTGCCCAACTGTGCAGTGATGTACATACAAAGAGAATGAATTTCTGATCTGGAAACTACAGCTTGATTGAAACACTCCCGTCATTGTTAGTGGTGGTCATAACTTTAGCTACCATTTAAAATCTGTGCTGGTGTAAAACACACATCAAATTTTTGGGTTGCTTGGTAAGGCAGAGTCTCCCATTTCCGTGATCTTCAGTCTCACCCTCTTGGTGGGAATTCTGTCTCACACTTCATCTTGCTTCACAGGTCCCAACGTCCTGTCTTACACTGCTTCGTCCCATAAGTAAACTTACTCATTTTTCTGAGATAAAGAAAATTTACTTATTTTAAAATGAGTGATCTGCATGTGTCCTGCTAATTTAGATCCCTTAGCATTATAGCAGCTCTGCTGTCTAACCTTGACCTAAAGTTTCAGCCACTACTGAATGTGCTGCACTTCGACTTACTTGAATGAATCATTCAAAATGTATAYCCAACTCCTTTTCAAGTTCATAGAATAAATTCCTACCAAATCTTAAACATTTAGAAAAAAACCCACCCCCCCAAACCTTAATATATAATTACAGATTTTGCTATTTACCTGGTTACACAGCAATCAGAGAAAACCACTGTGTCTTGAGAAAGAGCACTGGAATAGGAAAGCATTTTGAGGMTAAAAGAGGAACATTTTGTAGGGAAGAATGTTCAGGAGGGAATCACAGTGTTAATTACAGCACATGTACTCATATTAATATACCCACCTGCTGAGTGGAAAGGAATTCCAATGTAAACTTTTAAACCCCAGAATGCTAATGATTTCATTGAGTTATAAATGTAAGGCATGTCATAGCAAGGCTGAAAGAAGTCTGAGGAAAGGATTTTCTGCACACCTCATCCAGCACACCCACATGAGCTGGGGTTGTACTGTTGGCYAGAGCAAAGTAAGCTGCAAGGGAATTTGTGGAGACTGGCAAGTTGAGCAGATTACCTGTGCAAGGCTGCCATAAACACTAAAAAGAGAGTGCATGATAATGAAGTCCTGAGACAAAAGGAAATATGTATTTCAGCATAAGAGTCTTAACAGAAAGCTATTACCTCGGAACATGTAAGAGCCTCATAATTAGGGTGCAATTTTACAATATTTGACACCTGGACAGAAGCCCTAGCTTGTCAGCAAAGCTAATAATAAATTTAAAGATGCATTAARACTTCCAGGAGAGTGCCCTAAGTGAATGAAAGGGAATAAACAGTCTCTTAAATTTTTGTGAGGCCTAGTCTGGTACAGGCAGAACATACCTAGTTTGAGGCTGGAATGTTTGTTGGGAGTAAGCTTAGTTTCTAGAAACTTTGGTGTATGTAGAGACAGTCAAGAACTGACCAAAGGATCAGAGTAACTCAGTGATTAATTGTTACTTACTTACCTGAAGTGGTAGTTGGGCACCCACGATGCCTTTGTGGTTTCAGCCTCTTGTGCTTTATGGCTCGGGTGCTCAACCATCAAACAAAGGCATGCACTTCATTTCCTTGTGAATGGTTTTAGATCATGACCTTTTCCAAACCCTTCCATGGAAATAGTGAAGTCAACATTTCATACAGAAGGGAGAAACGTGGTGGGAGACTGCCAATTTAAGTTTTCATTTTCAAGGACAGAGAAAACAAAACTGCATGAAACTCAAAGTGTGCAATACTCACAAATAAGCTGCTTTATGAGMGAAAACAAAAGGTTTTAATAGGAAACCAGTGGATGAAGAGGGGACTTCCACATGTAATGTTGTTGGCTTTTACTGAGACTTATGTAGTTTCATTTGGAAAAATTAATAAAAACTGACTTATCTTTGGGAACAGAATAATATGGGTTGCAAAACCACTGGTGTACAATAAAGCCATGTTTCTTGTTTTGTTTTGGTTTGTTTTTTTCCCCTTATCCAGTTYAGCATCAGCAGGCTTTATTTCTTCTTTTGTCTACAACCAGCACCTTTATTAATGGCCCGCGAGAGTAAGCCAGAGTGTATTAATTATATTTGCAAATAATATCATTTGAATAAGAGCTGAAAGCGCTCTTCAGAACAAAGAAGTAACACAGAAGAAAATGCAGGAAATTCAGTAGTCTGTGCTAAATCTAATGACATCTTTGGAGGAAGAGGATGAGAAGCTAAAGATAAATAATTTAAACACAAACGTCCAGTACAAGGGAGGAAATGTAGGAAGTGAGAGGTGTTCCTAGGTAAGTGTGAGTGCCTTTCACTAGTGCCAAAAAAAAACCTTTGGAAAGCATTAGTGAATATGCTAATGTGAGGCACCAGTCAATGCTTCTWGTCACAGAGTACTCAAGTTCTGGGCAGGTTATTAATGAAAGATGACAARTGAGCTGTGTTCAGAGACAAGGAGCAAAAGTGGCCGGAGAACAGAAGGAGTGTTGCATTAAATAAAACACCAAAAATCTCAGAAAATTTGCCCACATGGTGCTTACTGCACTAGCATGGTCCAGCTATYTCCCAACTCAGCTGTGGAGGAAAGCACCCGTGAACAGAGCAGAAAACAACCTGTGTGTCACGTTCTGGTGTCTCATGTCCCCTGGACCCTGTCCCCAGTCAAGAACACATTTGGCACAGCATCATGCTGCTTCCATTGGCCAAATCCAGACGTGATTTGAAGGAAATGAGATTTGAAGATTGTCAAGAGAGCAGCGAGAGAGGGGCTGCTCCACGAACGATGACCCTGGGGGAGCCAGGGGTGGGAGCTGGCCCGGTAGGGATGGGGTCCTGACTACAGAGTCAGTACCAGGCGAGTGCTCTGGCTCCTGTGACAGTCATCAGCTGAGGATGGTTGGGGCAGCAAAGCTCCYGTTACCCTCAGAGCTCTTACAGAGGACTAGAGAAAAGTTTTAMATGAAATCCTTTCTTAACCATACTGGTACTTAGTAATGGTTGGTTATGTCAGTTAACTTCGTCATTTAAATATTCGCTGTTTACAGTGAAAACCCTTCTGAGCTCATCCCCTCAAGCTTTTTTCTGTAGTTGTTAAATGCMCTTTAAGGAACCAAATAGCTCATGATAACTGTTATGTGGGTCACTTATGCATTTCATGCTGCAAGTGCCTGTTCCTCTCCAGTGGTTGTCCAGAGCTGCTGGTGACTGTCCCAGGTGAAGATGTTATCCTGGGTCCAGTTATGTGAGTGCAGGTGGTTGGGAGTTCAGAATGGGCAGTTTTGGGTGTGTGCTGAGGGATTCCGAGATGAAATCAGGTTTTAGGAAAGCATAGGATTGTATRATGAWGACCATAATAATAAAGGATATATGWATATTTTATGACCATAAATGATATCTGTGATTTTTTTTACCACATAATGATCTTTAAATACATACTGAGAATATGGCTGACTGCAGTTATAACCATTGCAYAATCAAATATGCATTTATTCAAAATAATGCTTTAAGGACATAATCATTTTAATAATTCAGCTTGGGGAGCGGGGAATAAATGATAATAATACACAGATTTCCTTTTGCTGAGTCCTCAAAAGCTAAACAACTTAAACAACCGCAGCCTGTACTAAATTTATCTGTACTTCATGTATCTTTAATTTGCACTGAGGGAGAAATGTACTTAGCTTGGCTCCTTACAGGGCATAGCATTCCTGTAACAGTTGTTTAAATTCCTTACATTTCTGGAAAAGGAGTTTTTTATCAATTGTACATTAAAAATGAATGAAAGAAGAGCTCCCCTGAAATTGCCAAATACTTTGTTTCTAAAGAATATTGATCTGAATTTTCCAAGTGAAAAACAGAATGTTCAAAAGGTACCCATTTTACAGGAGCAAAGTGACCAAAATTATTCATGTTAAAGACTAAAGTGACTGCCTGATGCTGTGACACTGCATAGAGTTTTGTTACATTTTCTTTATCCTTGGCCATTTCTTTATACTACAGATCCCACAAAAAAAAAGGAAAAAAGAAAAAAAAAAAAAAGAACTGTTTAGGTTAGGTCTTAGAACTGGTTGCCTTAGATCTGCTCAGTGGCTCCTTTTTGTTGGAGTCCACTGTTGTAAGGATTGTTACAAAAAAAAGATGAAGTGGGTGTCGAGTTCCTGCCCAAAATAATTACTAATTAATTTGACCACAAACTGAGAGAAAACTTGCTGAAGCAAATGTAAGCATATTTTTTCAGTGGTAGGCTCAGTGTGAGGAAGAATTTCCTAAAGGAATGCTGGRCTTATTTGATTTCTCACCACCCCCACTTTCACAGCCAGCAGATTTAAGTAAGGTTGCTTAATATTACCAACTGTGAGCACAAAGCATCCATTTGGTTTTTGTGTTTAATATCTGTGTRCAACTCATTGTAATTTGGAACAAAGTACACATTTATTCCAAAGAGAAAAGATGACTTGTTTATAGTTGATACCMCCTGCAGTTTTCCTTCAGATTACATGAGTCAAGTACATTTGACATCAGAGTAAATCTTAGAAACCGGACACCAATGCTGGTTTGAAGCTGTAACAGGTGTAGATATGCCAAGTTTCAGGAGTGTCTGTTTGCTTTCAAGTCCACTGGCAGCTTAACTCTTGCAATTCTGGTTTTCTTGGGGCCCAGGGTGTTACTGTTAAGATGCTGCCACAGGTTCTGGGTGTGCATAGAGATCTCATTCAAGCAGCTGAAACTGAGACTGACAGTTACCTGAGTCTGAATCCCAAGGGCTGATCCTTACTGGGGTCCTTTATTGCCCTTGGGGACCTGCTTGTGAGACATAAAACTGCCTTACACCCCATAGAGCAGCCCTAAAGTAGGGGAGACGGTGAGGTGCTACTGCAGAAGTCAAGAATGTGTTGGTGAGAACCCTTCTGTGGGATGTGGTGTCAAATSTTGTACTGAAATTGGGCAGTGTGGCAACGGGAACAAAGCTCATCAGCTGAGTAAGTGTTGTAACCTCTGCTCTAATGGCCAARTGAGCCTCAGCTTTGGCAAACTGCAAACAGCTTAGGCTGCTGGGCTGGTAAGTCASTGAAATCACAGAAACATCCAGGCTYTGTGATGGCTTCTGTGGRCAAATGCCTCTAAAACCTGTGTCATTGAGGGGGGAGGGCCTAGGGTGAGAGTGCTGGGTGGGGATGAGCACCTGGCTGCCTCCAGGAGATGGAGCTGGACAGTTCTCCATGCACCTCATGGGTCCTTCAGCATTGTCCTTGAACATCTACCCACAACAACATCTGAGTCCCAGACTGTTGTATACAGAGCTCTGGCATGGTTTTGGGCTCTGATTACCACTGGGCAGCAGAGCTAAATAAAAAAAAAAAGCACCAGTTCTCTGAAGACTTTGGGCTTAAATCAGGGCTGTCATAAGATTATGCAGTTCTCTGCAATCACAGTTTAGCTCTCTGTTCTGTGGACAGTTTTTGCTATTTTGCTGTGATGTGAAAACGCAWAACTGTTTTAATAATACTGAATTTTTGTTCCATGTTTCCACGGGTACTTTCAGAAAAAAGTAAGTACAATGTTGGYGATGTTGTGTTTGTCTGTGTGCATCTGGCATGCTTGAACATTCTGTTAACAACACTTTCCTCATTTGAGCTGTGTAATTGATCACCAGCTGGTGACATGATCAAATTGAGCATTTCACACTAGCCTGATATGACACACTCTTTATAAGAACTATTCCAGCAGTGTGTGTCATGCAAAGAAAGGGCAGACTGCTCTAGGTGAAGTCTTAATGTTAGGACAGCCAGAATATCTGTTATTTTACACAAAAATTGATACAGTGACTTGCTGTAACTGTGGGTGACTTTCCTTACAGAAGTATAAATTAAACGAGGTGACTGTTGATGCCATTCCTCCCGTCCCACTCTGTTCAGGTGTCTGTCTTTTTAGCTCTTCTCTCTTTGRTTTTGCTTTTCTCTCCAAGAAGAGGGGGTGAAATTCAGTAACAAGCAGCAGAGTAGCTGAGTGCAGTTTGTTCAGTGTTCCACATTTCAGTGTTGATCAAAGGCCTCCAGCTGTGGGGCTGCACGGCTCCCTTGGAGCATTWCCAGCAGGGACCCACTGCTGAAGCTCTGTCTGGGTGTCCTGGGCTCGCTGCCTCAGCAGGAGATCCTKCCCAGGGATGGGAGCGTGGTGTGACTGGGTCCTGCTGCCTGCAGCGTGAAGGGTGGGAGGGAAAAGGGACATGTGACAACTGTGTGGAGTTGGGACCCACGGCTGTCACCATGTTCCCGCTCCAGTGAGGTCTGAGATCCTCACCTGTGCTGTGCTAATCACAGCCTGTGCTCTGCAGGGTCACAGAATTTCTGGGTCCAGAATTTCTGCTGCTCAGATGTGCTTGTGAGTTCCCTGGGCTCCCTTTGCTGGCTTCTCATCTGGGGAAATTTGAGTATCTGGAAAAGACTGTAGAAGTGAAATATAGTAGGGAGTGGTTGAGGCTGAGGCACTTCTGAAAAGATTTAAGATAAAATTGGAGACCCAAAGACATCTTACTGACTGAACATGGCSGTTTGTGGACACTTCTTTCTCTCAGTCACCGTGGTGATTCCTGTTCTTCACTGTTTCCTTGTTCTCGCCACTTACAAAACAATCACTTGCATGGCAGTTTGGTCTGTGAAAAGCAGTCTGCTTCTCTCAGGAAACAGCAAAAGGGGATAAAACCTCTGGAAAAACTGTCAGGATATAGCTTGGTGCCATGAAAGTTACTYGTGTTCTGACTAGAAGAGCAAGAATTATAATTTAAGTGTAAATTGAAGAATTCTGAGCTAATAAAGTTGTCTTAAGTTTTTCCTTTGGTCAAAACAATTATTTTCTTTACCATAAAAGAGAAATTCCTTTTATTCTTGCTCTGAATAACTGTTATTCTTTATGTTGTTAATCATGATCATAGACATACAGCACCAGCAAAATATAGAATGAATGTACAGGAGCCAAGCAAAAAGAAATTGAACATACTGTTTATCAGGTAGAACATTCTTCCTCATCAGGTCTTACAAACTCCAGCCCATTCCTTTAGAGGAAGGTRTTCTAAAATACCATGGTTTTGGCATGAGCTTAAAGTTTTCTGGAAATGARTTGCATTTGAGGAAAGTGTTGATCATGTGCATCATGGGTTGGAGGGTTTGGAATAAAATGYTTGGTTTAGATCCTTCTGAATTCTTATTGCTTCTTACAGTGACAGCTACAGTGACCTAAGTGATGACAGCTCTCCAGAAAAAGAGTTTCCTTATTCTGACACAAGCTGAAATGGTTGTATGAGAGCACAGAAATGGATGATGCTATTGAGGTAAACTGAAATATTTTGATACTGCTTTTTGACTGTTTTATTCTAGACTTAAAACAGGAGATAAAGCTAATTAATTTCTCACTTTGTTTCAAGTCCCACCTGAGAGCTTATGTCTTCTTTCTTGTCTGTAGCACTTGTTTTCCTCTTCTGCTGCTTAACTSTGCAATTGAGATGTTAAAGTCTTCTAAGTGTTTTGGGTACATCTTTTATGTATGATACTGCACAAAACCAAGTTGTGTTACTGTTTGAAGATACATTAAAAATACATTTTTAAATTATGGGGGTTTTTGTGTCTTCAGTTTTCCAGTTGGAATCACTTCAAGTACACTACGTAGAGATRACTTTAAATTTTGCATTAATATTCACCTGTAATTGCATCTGATGCATTGATACCACAAAGACATCCCAGTGTAAATACTTGGATTTAATCTGCCGAGACATAGAGATACAAATGAGTTTTATAAAATTGTAGCTTTGTTTGCCATAGGCTTTGCCACAGTGATGTTGCATTGGTGGTGTATTCACTTATAAACATGGCAGTCACAGATTTCCTTTCAGTTTGGATGTTGTATTTCCTGTGAGGCACATGATCTCTGCAGGATCTGAGCTTGAAACTTAGTCTTACTTTATTTTTCCTGTGCAGATTCATCAGAGCTGGGGCTGTTATGACACCCTCAATCATGCTTCTCAGTATTTCTGAGCACTTTTGTAAGGCAGAATTTCCCCCTCAATTGTGTCTCACGTGGTGTAGACACTAAGCAGCTGTGCCAAACACACAATTAAAAAGGCTCTGTATGCACTTCTGCCTGATGGTCTCCTCATCAAAGTAGTGAGATGCTAGAAACTGGAGTTCAGTCCTTAGATGCATGGGTTTCTTCTGATATTTTCAATTGARTTCTCCTTCATGTACCACATGTTAAAGATAATGGCTCATCCCCAAATCATGAGAGTGAAGAACAGAATGTTAAATGATTTAATGACCTGGTACATGTACATACAGTACTGATGCATGGCCTAAAATAAGCAAAAAATAAGGAGACAAAATGTTCCTTTTCACTCTTTGCTGGATTCTTCCCACCTCCARACATCACAATGGTTCTGTTTCTTGAGACCAACACAAAGTACAGGACAGTCCCTTTGGAAAAGCCCTTGCTTTCCTCAATGTAATTTATGAATGGTAGTTCTCTGTTTATCGTGGCAGCACGACTTGTTCAGTGCTTGGATGAGTATTTTCATGATGTTTTTGAGTGGTTAGCAGCAGCCATGGTGATTTTGTTGGAACATGATACTAGTGGATACCAAYTGTATTCAAGAATTACTTTAGAAAGGATTAAATAACTAAATYCAGATATTAAGGAATGGGAGAAGCATTGGCTCATTTATTTTTATCTCATGGTTAATTCTGTCTATTAATCAGAGCTGGATGCACATGTAGRCTATATTCAGCTTTGTGGTTTTGCTTTATGCTGTTTGATGCAGRTGAAATGCATCTACTTGTAGTATTTACATAGGACTGCTTTGAAATCAATCAACAAATATGAGTGAAAATTACATAAGCATGAAATAATCTGAGTTATAGAAGAAATATTTTTAATAATTGCTTTTTTTACATTTAATCTTCCTTCCTCTTCTTTTTGTGTTGCAGAAACTTGGGAACAGGCCAATATTGAATAGAAGAAAGTAGAAGAGTAAACTGCTTGCAGTTCTCATACTGTTTCTTCCTCTACTATTCTGATTACAGATGACAGTTTTACTGTTCTGTAGCAAAAACTGTTCTGTGTAAATGCTGTTTCTCTTCAAAAGTTACCAAACGGTTGCGCACCTTAGCTGTTAATCATTATTCATCTTGTCCTATATTTCAGAGTGATCTCAGGTGAATTGTATTAATTCACTAGTTCACAGCTGTTCTTGGTTTGAAGGAAGATTTGACTGGTTTCAGTTTGCCTTGGAACAGGAAGACAGAATTCATTAGTTCTTGGGAATGAGGGGAAATGCACTAAAACATTTAAGGGAAAATTGTTTTATTCTTGAGCAGTAGAAAACTGTTGCAGGTTTTTTTCCCTATTAAGCTTGTATATGTGGTTTTTTTTACTTTTTTGCTGTTCAATATGTACAAATGAAAAATGGTTGCTGTATTTCAGCTCTGTGTGATTATAATAATTAATGTTGAATGCAAGTTTTTTCACTTTTTTTTATAAGTGATTTGACTTCGCATAAATTCATTTGCTCTGCTTCTCCTGGAAGTCTGATATACTGAATGTAATTCTAACCTACAAAATTACAGAAGTGGTATTAAAAGGTGGTTTTATATTTGTATTTTGTAAGAGAGAAAGTAAATAACTTTATATGTTAAGCTCTAGTTTCTTGTATGAAAGTTGTATAAAAAACAGGCATAAACCTGGAGAGTTATCTGGCCTCCAGCTGTGCCACAGTTAATTGCAGTCAATAAGTGTAAAGCAAATTAAGTAAGGTTCACCCTTGTTTTCCTGCATCCTGTGACCACTCCATTGTCATGGCACTTACCCCCCAGCAGAATGGAATGATGTTTTAATTTAGAAATCACTGCATCACAACTGCAGGCAGCCCTGCAAAGCCAGGGAGAGAGAGAAGAGGAAGGTGAGAGGTGCTGTTCTGCCTGTAAGGCTGGATCCCGTTATCTGTGGGCCATCATCAAACCTGTCACRGAAGCTGAACCTGAGCTATGTAACTGATGGGCTCCAGATGCTTGGAACACAYTTTTCTATAAAGAAAAATTCTGGATTTTGAGTGTTGTGCTTCATTTTGATTTTGGGCRAAGTGACTTCTTTAATTCATCAGAAGTTAGATATCTGCACAGAAGTAAAAAGCACCATTTTCCTTGTTACAGCTTTGTAAAACAGCAAGTTTGAGAGCTTTGCATTGCTATAGAAAATCTCAGGTTACACAGCAAATTTGTCTCTTCACTAAAAGAAGCTTTAATGGTAATGAAACACAAAGTATATTTTCATGGCAGCACTTTCCTAAAGTAGTTTGTGAATAYGTGCCTTAGAAATAGTGACAGCAGGATTGATGTCACTGTATGTCTTGCCCAATGAAAGACACTGGCCACTGCTTTGTGAAATGTGAAAAATTTCCTAAGATTGTAATGTGCAAATGTATTTTCAAAACATTTTCAATAAATGGTGTTATTTGGAAGTGTTTGAGTACCTGCTAAAAAATTGTGGWGCCAATTGTGAACTGTGGTGTTAAGGAGAGAACTCATCATTTAATCATKTTGCAGTTGTATTGCCTGTGAGAAACTGTGATTTTACAAAAAAAAAAAAAATAAAGGGGACAAAAAGACATCCAACCTGAAGTGCAGCTGGAAGTAGCACCCTTGCCAGTGCTCTTCCATGTAAAAGCAGTTTTGAGCAATACCTTAAAAGTAGCGGTTGAGTTCTCTGCAGGAACCTGTGGAAGCAGGAATTGCAGCCCTGAGCTAAAGGAGGTTTTCAGGAAAGGCAGATTGTCAACGATCACAAGGGCGGGAGCTTGCTGCCCAAAAGGATGTGGAGGAGATAAGGGAGTCAAGTGTGTAAAGAAGCAAATGACTTACTAACTTGAGCTAACGTCCTCATGGGAGTTGTGTTACAGCTGCCATGGCAATGCAAATGTAATGTGTTTCTCCCCAAAGTCTGAGTGCATTGATGACAGTAGGGAGTGTGAATACAGCCTGGAGAACTTCTGAGMTGGCAGCAAAGCCAGATCAGTGCAGAAGTGAACAGGAGCTGTGGAAACCTGTGTGGGACTGGCTGAAGCTCATTTCCCACAACTTCACTGTTTGGATACGTGAGGTGACCAAAATCTGCTGAGAAAGGGAGCAAGGGGGAGCAAGGGGGAGCAGAGCAGCACTGCCCTTGAAGAACAAAGAGCCTCTTCCAGCATCCTGTGGAAACTCACTGCAACATGACAGGAGAGTAAACAAATGATACAATTGTTTCTGTGCTGAATAACGCCTCATCCTAGCACACAGGTAGGAGAAGGCTTCTGCACTGGGACATCTGCGKGGGAGTTGTGTTTCTGTGCCTCAGCCTTTTATCCCATGCAGTGCTTCGTTTTTCCCTGCTGGYAGCTGTTAGCTCTGTGATAACTTCCAGACAAACTCTTGCCACTTCACCCTGTCCCCACTGTTGACATGGGTCATGCTTTGTTCAAGGATTTCTCACCTTTTCCCAGGTAGCAGCCTTTGTGTTCTTGATGACAATGAACTTAGTATCTCGGATATTTCTCCCTTTATTTAGTACTGTCTAGATTTTCAGGTATTCAGTTGTGTCTGAATTGGTAATTACCATAGTGATTCACCTAACAGGGTGAAATGAATAAGAACTCTAAAATAATTGTATGAGCAAAGTCTATGTACGTTCCACTATGTGGGAGGGTCATATTTGTAYAGCTCCTCTAAAATGACTCAGAATATTTACATCAGCATCTATTAGCTGTCCAAAGAAGATGTCTGTTGCCTCAGTTGGAAATTCACTCTGAATTGCAATTCTAGAAATTTTGATTTTTTYAGTCTCTGGTTGATTCTCTTGATTCTATGTGTAAATATATTTTTAACCTTTTTTTTTAATGTGAACTAACTTTTCATGGAGCACAGAAGTGACCAGTTCTATTGTTCTTGATTCTTATACAAATAAGTCATCTTCAGTAGTTTGGTTTCTTGCTCTTTAAATACCTCATGGATTGCAGGATTTAACATCCTGCTGTGACCTAGCTGACCTACTGCTAGAATAAACTCTATTAAAATGTCTTTCATCTTGTAAAAATTATGTACTTTAATCTTTACACTTTGATGATTTGTTTGCATATGGAATATTTTCTCTGCTTGTAACATCCTAATTCATTTGAAGAAATTGGTTGCTTTATTGGACTYCTGGTAACATGCTCTCACAAATTTGGATCAGAGCCTAGAAAACCAGCTTTTCCTGAAGTGTGGACCTCATTCTGTGTTTCAGGAGTGCTCCTGGATAGGTGAGGCTGTCTTTTCTACTTCTATGGATCCTCACTTAAKAATTGAAGAAACTTAACTAGTTGGAAGATGCCAGTGAAATGATGACTGAAAGCATAGTTTGGATAACGTAAGGACTGACCCAAGWCTTGGATTGAAGCATAATCCATCACTCCGTATATTTACAGGAATAGTTAGGATAGTCTGCTCTGAGCTTCTGCATAACATATCCTCATCCAATAGCAGCTTCAATAAATCCCTGATTTCATAGAGTCAGTCTGAGAAATAAAAACATGACCTTGGGTGTCTTTTTGTTTGAATATTGCTTTTGCTACTTTCAGAACATGCTGCTTATTGCCTAAGTACAGATTTGCAGAAATAGTTTGGAGAAATAGTGCAGCTTTGGAGCAATAGTGCAGCTTTGGAGCAAACCCTCTTAGTACAAGTGATTGATTTCCCACAGCAGCTGTTGTGGACCAGACCTCAGATCCTTTTGGAGGAAATGAAATTGGAAGATTCATTCCAAAACCTGGTGTGATTCAGCTCTGAGCCCACCCAGGGAAGAACACTGCTGCAGGTGCCTCTGTTGGGCATCCACTGAGTGTGTGCCAACAGAAAGCTTTCAAACCATGGAGTGTTCCTGTGAAACCCAAAAATGTTTCCTATTTTATGAGGGTGGTATTCACCTTC